CTTGATTCTGCCACTTCTATGTGCATTTATCAATTCAACTGCTCCTGGGGAGCTAGTTACATTGGGCGCACAATGAGGCAGTTCCATCGTCGAATTTCCAAGAGCCACCCATCATGGTTGAACAAGGGACAAATTAGAACTATAAAAAGAGCTTCATAATTGCACACTTAGTTGATACAGGACATCAAGTGGTTACTGGAAAAAGCCTTCAAAATCATCCATCACATTCCAATCAATTTACCTCATGGATTACGCACTCGGTTACTTCACATAGCAGAGGCGATTGCAATCCACCTTCACAAACCTAGCCTTTGATTCCGAAAGAAGTTTGCTCGACCACTTTCATTACCGTGGCGGTCAACATGATGTAAATTCTAGGTTTACTTTGTACACCTCTTCCCCTTCCTCTTGCTTCCATCAATATTCATATTTCCAATTTCAGTAACTCTATTGATTATTTACATCATTGTTTCCGAGACATCACCACATGATTGGTAATTTGATTAAATTGTAAGACGACTATGCATATTAGTGTAGAGCCCAAGATGAAGACCTAATTGAATAGGAATATATTTCTTTGCTCAATCAGTCTTGAACAAAATATATGGCGAAAAATGCATAAGGTGCCGCTGAAATCAAAAATTGTGGTGAGTAGTAAAGATTAATCAGAATATGATCTCAAGTACATAGAAGATAATTGGATTATTGGAAAACCAACCGACTACCTTAAGGAAGTGTTACTTAGGTGCACATTAAACATTCAATTCACATGTTGTGATGTGAATGATACACAGAAACATGGATTTGCTATGGGATCCCTACTAGGTCCACTTCTGGCAGACTGATTTATGACCAGTTTGGAGAAGTGACCCTAGAAATTAACGAATAAACGTTTTCAACTATACAAAAGGTACATGAATGATACTTTTACCATCTTAGTCAGTCGGATTGACTTGAATGAGTGTGCAGTGCTAGGGAGTTCCATACTGGTACGAAACAGCTGTTAAGTCCTCCCAGATTTCCAGTGCTTCTCTAACTGATGTTACCCCATGAGTAATATCAACCTGAAACCAATAAATAAACCCTTACAAACCTCCAATCTCTTGGCACAGAGGCTTCTAGATAGCATATCTAAATATCCTGCTGAGTTCCACTGTGATATCAGTTCATTGATGAATCTATGATGCTCATCTCATTAGGTTGCTAACTATTCGGAGTGAGTACACAAACATTAGCTGGGATATAAACAGATCAATATGAGAAGTATACCCATAATGATTTGAAGGAAGAACAAGTCTATTTCAGCGAAAGTCTCTTTGTATCGACTTCATTTTCAAAGCTTTGCAATCACAAATTTATACTTCTTTCTGGTGTAGGGATTTGATAGTTAAAAACGGTTTGTCAAGCATGACAACACAAAATAATGTCAATAAGTGAATTGTTATTAAAATCAAAAAGCCAGAAAACTGATGAGTAGTGAATGGTAATCAAAATAAGTTTGAACAATAAGTTTGGACACTGAATTGTGATCAAGCAGAACATAGCAACAGGAATGATTAGCAAATTTCTTAAGAGGTGAACAGTGCCAAAACAGAGAAATGAAAAGGAAGGGGGTGAATAGAGAAGGCTGAAAACTAAGACCATGGAAGGAGAATGAGTTGAACAATCTTCTTTCGCTTACACACTTCAGGCTTCTCCATTTGGATGACAAGAGCTTCGGAGATGCAGAGAATACGAAGACATACAGCCTTTGGGAGGTTTCTTTACGCTTCATAGATGACTTTAAACGAGGTTTTTGAGATAAGGTGATTTGTGCTCATGATGTGTCCAATTATTGCACTCCTTATAGCTCCATTGTTACCTCTTTGTAACCATACGGGATAGTGTTCGTGAACCCTTTTGGATAACAGTCGTATCGAACGACCTATATACCTGACTCCACATGAGCGGGTGAATTGATATATGCACATAGAAGTGGTCAGATGCAAACGTTTCTCCTTTGATTTGCTAGAAATCGTTGAGCGACAACAGAATACTAGTCTCAGCATTGATGCAAAGAATGTTCTCCTTAGAGCGTTTGATATCCTCCTTTTTAGAGTGTCAGCGGTAGAATCACCTTTAAAGTTGAGATTCATATAGATTATCATTTTTGGCACGGTGGTAAAGTTCTCTCTGCGAGGTTTAGGTTTGATGTGGTTGTCTAGGAAGCATGGTGGGAATCTGTTTTCAATCAAGATGTGTTGCCAAGCTTGACAAACCGTTTTTAACTATTAAATCCTTACACTAGAAAAATGTATAAATTTACTACTCTTCACTGAAATAGACTTGTTCTTCCTTCAATAAATAGATCAATCTTATGAATTTCATCAAGAATAAAATATGTACACTGAATTGCTTTTACTAGCCGTTACCAATTTAATCTTAGTTTTTAGTTTACATGTTTTATAGAGTCAGATATTGATAACATTTAGGTAAACCAATAAGCACAAAAGTGCTATACAGCAGTTATTCCCGAGGTATTTTAGTCTGAAGTCTTGGGAATACGCAACTGTGTCTAATTGCAATTAGCTCACAATATCATGTGACCATCTATCACTACGTTCCATATTCTTTCAGCCAATTTTTCAACTGAATCAAACAGCAAAGACTCAACGTAAATTTAATTCGGTCAAATGCGTATATCATTAAAGCAAAAACCATAAATTGGAAAACTGGTAAACATATTTTCCGTCTTTTGTTGCCGTTAACCTCATGAAATCGAATCGAGTACTCTGAGATTGCAGATACGCATTAGATTTTCAGTCTTTGAATAGTTTTAAAGCAGTTTGCATCAATATTCAATTCAGAGCCCGTAGAAAATTTAAGCATTTTTGTATGTATACCATATTATTGATAACTGAATGAAAAAAGCGTAGAAGAGTGACGTTATACATTCCAAGACTTTCCAGAGAATGGTTACCCTATAAAACTGTAGGTAATTTTAGTGCATTAATGATAGATAGGGGTTAGCAGTGGAACTCAGGACGCGCATTTCGTCCTACTTGGGACTCATCAGCGACGGGCAATATCAAGGCATCCGTCCAGTAACCCATATGCCAATAGAGACTGATTGGTTCCGTTCACTCAAAAACGAGATAATACTAGCAGCAACATTAATTTCAGTGCATAGTTATATCTTAGATGTAAAGCTAATGAGGGCAAATGAACACTGAACACTCATTTTACACTCACTAAAACAAAATCTGTATCTGTATTGAAACACTTCCTTATTTCCCGGTATACGTGTTAAAATCAAGATACCGAGTTGCAGTCTAGTGGCCGATAATTTCTAACCTCATCTACTGTTATCAAAAAAGCAGTTGGGTTTGAAGATAAAGTCAGTTCATCACACTAGAAAGTCTGAGGAAGGGACACACCCTCCTATGGGAATTATTTTTTATCTGAAAACCAGTTGATTCATAATTACTGTTAAACAGTATACGAGATGTAAATAGCTAATCAGTAGGAAACTCGTAACCTAGGTTCGATGCTTGTTTTCACTCCCTGGGAGGGGTGCATGCGTAACCGTAAGGAAACTGGTTTCCTATTCGTGATTCAAATCTAGATTACTCGGTGCTGAATGCAACGACATTAACACTAAACTACTTTGGATTGATTCAATAGATCTCTGCATTAACTGTAACTGTTGTTCTACAGTGTGATACAGTCTGATATAATTTGACTTGCGCAATTCATTATCAACCACAAGTCATCCTTGAACATCAGCAGATTGATTGACCCACTTAATACATCCAGGCGATCAAAGTCACATTATTTAAACCCTTCAAAGTCGTTATAGCTCAAAAGTTGACAAAGTGTCTCAGTAATTTGCATCATGCACAACATATGATGAGATGATGAAGCAAGAAGAATGAAATATAACTTACAAATCCACACACTAACTATGATAAGCACAAGATCGGATAGTGAGATAAGCGATGATGAGGTTGTGAACCTTAATTGACCACCTAGCCCCCCCCCGTATGCCATGCCAAAAGAAAGTTGGATTATGTTGGAAGACAGTTCAGGGTAGTCACATCAAGACATGGCACTAGTCGATGAAGTCCCTAACATTCTGTCTGTGCTGTGTGTTGAGGTGTCGACTATCAAGTTGTTGTCTCTGAGACGATAGGAATTAATGGTTGAGAAGTCTTGGTGATAGGGCTAAAATCGGTCACAGTGTCGCAGATGTATTCACTCCTGGACGTCTTCTAAAGCTTGAATAGTCACACTAACTGATATTTTCAAATTGATATTCTCTCACTCAACTTTATGTACTTTGATATCACTCTTTTTCTATCCACCTGTTCTTTGGGCATTACTGTGAAATGTGGCAACTTCAACTGGTCCACTTCAGTGCGAAGCTTTACGTTGATTTTGTCCTACTATTTATCCGTGTCCTTGTTTTTATTCAGATGAATACAGATTTCTGCTTAAGCAACACGATAAACACTTAGTTATAACAATACGCGTGAAAAAATAGGGATCTGAATTCCATTGGGAGTCTGCCGGGCAACTTTTAAAAGCTTAACATCACATTAGTCTGCAATCATTAAAGCATTTACATGAACTCGACTCAGCGACCAACATTGTAAAACACAAAGAGTGCCTACATGGCAGGAGATGAGATCGGCAAAACAAAACGTGTTTGTAAGCATTGATAAAAACATGATGGAAGCAAGTAATCCTAATTTAAATCATAAGCACCTTAAAGATACTCACGATAATTTACATAGCTGTTTGAACTGATTCCTATGCTCTTTTCAAAATCCATTTTACCTAAGAAATCACTTTTTTCATATCTATTCGAAAGAACAATAGATCATCCCGACTCTTCATAGAATTAACAGCATCATTGTAACTCAACAAAAGACATTCAAGGCAATCCAAAGGAATAAAATCCCTAAATAAAACGTACTATTTGGGAGTAGTCAGATTGATTTTTAAAAAATTAAACCTACCAAAGTTGTAGGTTTACATCTTGCGATTCCAGCCAAGAAATGGTTTGGATTTCCTAATCCTGGTGGACAAGGATTAAAGTCAATTCTATAAAAGTCCATGCTTTGTACAACCACGCCAATCATTCTGTAAGTAAGAAAATATTTAAATACTTAAAGATTTTTAAATGGTGTATACACAGAATGAAAATTGTTTCGATAGTTATGGCACATAAAGGTCTTTGAGTTCACATAGGATGATGTATATGTCAAACAATAGATAGTCATCAGCAAGGTCCCTCTTAATGGTAAGAAAGTTAAGAAGCATCTTTAATGGAAAAACTGGATAACTTGGCTTGTGATCTCATAACAGAAGTGAATACACTAAGCATATCAGCTTCTCTTCAATGTGAAACATAAGCAGGTACATAAAGTAACAGCTTCTAATGTGTTGATAAGTAACACATGATGCCAGTGGTTGAAAGTCTATCGCTAACTAAATTTTCCTTTGACATCTAGTCATTAGTTCATCATGTGAAGACCACAACTATCTCAGATACCGTCACCAACAAAGGCTTTCCTCATGATGGACAGTGGCTAGCAGTGGAATCCAGGTTGCGCATTTCGTCCTACTTGGGACTCATCAGCTGGATCTACCTGCTTCCTAGTGAATGATGTTGCTCACACCGGGATTCAGACTCGGGAGTGATCGCTTCAAACGCCAGCACGTTTTCCACTACACCACCGAGGCACGATAACCACTTCTTGTGCGACGGGTATAGTTTTAATATAATTGTTTTTGATATGATACCACGGTTGATTGGACTGAATTGATCGGTCTCTATTGGGATCATTAACATAAGTAGAATGCAGGCAATATCGAGGCATCTGCACAGGAGCTCATATGCCAACAGAGACCGATCAATTCGGTCGAATCAACGACGGTATCATATAAAAACAATTATACTAAAAGCTCTCTTCACTGTTATTACTTCACAATTTACTAATAATACTCAACTAAGTAGGTCATGGTGAATGAACTAATTTGAAATTCCCTTCCACTATAGAATGAATCAAAAGGTGAACCAATAGGAATCAATAAGACACTGTAGAGAAGTTTCTTCTTATTAGGTAATAAATACTTTAAAGTCTATCTGAAATGAAATCCCAAACCTTGAGATCTTTTAGTCATCCAATGATTGCAAATTTATCGGTTTAAATCGACCAACTTTATATAATCTACTTTACAAGGGTTATATCACTAGATGTCATCCCTAGACATACATATTCAATTTTAAATCAGTTAAACTGACACTTCAAGGTCCTTTTAATAAGAATATTAGGAGGCTGTAATACTACTCAGTTCGCTGACCTGTAAGGAATTCACAAATTTCAAAATATTTTCTTTATGGCGTATTTCATTTCTAATTGTCTTCGAAAATGAAATTATTTTCCGTTGACTTGTCTTTTAAAAAGTTGCAATAAACTGAGGAATCATTTTTCAATTCCTAAGTCACTCATTCCAATGTTTTTTTTAAAGGGAAAGAATAAACATCAAGACAGAATAATATGGATACATTTTATAATTTCGGCGGTCCTCATCAGCTGCTTACAACTTGATATATTTATGATAACAAATTATAGTAAAATATTAACATAATTTATTTCAGTGAGATCAGTAATGTTTTGACTTAAAGTATGTTAATATCTAATTGTAATTTGTTATTATGAATATTCTAGGTTGTAGACAGCTGATGAGAGACACCGAAATCATAAAATGCATTTATATTGTTCAAGTGTAATGTTTATTCTTGCTCTTTTCAAGTTTTTATATGGAGATTGGTGTATGAAAATTCAAATTCTTCTACATACCAAGTTTTCTGTCAACTTTAGTCATTAACTTTCTCCACGAACAATACCCTGTAAACAATAACTGTCTTAGGTAATCTATTCAATGATTAAAAAACATTGAAGATTTGTGGGGATTTATTGAATTCAAGTTGGTATTCATCATGAAGTATCATCAGCTGGAGAAAGTTTGAAAACATGAGACCACTGAACAACTATTTCGTCCTAGTGTAGGACTCCTCAGTGGCACACATTATTAATCCCACGAGATATTGAACCCAGAAGCTACAAGTTCTGCAGTCATCACATTGTCCCACAATCAGTAGGGCAAGTGAAATCGAACTAGAGGACAGGTACTCAATGATGCCATTGGATGGAGGTCATGCAATATCGCGAATTGATAGAGGTAAGAAACTGAGAATCTTTGGATTTCTGACACATTGGCAACATGCTTATGGCAGAAACTGAAGTTCCTGGGTTCATTTTCTGGTAGGGACATGCATGCACCTTGCTTTGGAGTCCCAGGTTCTTCAACTGATGTCAGTCTGTGATAAATACCAACTTGAGATAAATACTTCAACCTCTGAACTCATAATTCAAACAGAAATGCTGTTGATTTCTTGGAGTTATATCTAAAATTCTTTTATCAATAAAAGATGATGTACAACAGTGAATTTCTACGGAGTAAAAGCCAACCATACTTTAAGAAACCTCTAAGCTTTTAGAAAATATTATGCTGTAAATTCCATGGTATTAAGATGTGTAATCAAATGAGTAGCATCTATGCTGGTTTGGCGTTCTCTAAGGTTTGGTATCTTGTTGTGGCTTGTTGATATCCTCAGCACAAGCTTTATAAAGAATGAAGAAATTCAACAGATTCCATGTCAGTTTGATCACCAGGCTAAAAGATTCGTTGTCGTGATGCAGTTACACTGATGTTAATTGGTTGGAAACAATTGGCAGGAAACCCTAGATTTAAGTTCCATTCCAGTAAACGGATATCGGTCAGCACTTAGGACTAAAATGATGAGATGGGTTACATTCTAGTCACTAATCAATGTATTTAACCTACTCCTATAGGAGGTTAATCTCAATACGAATATCTCAGCAGTAACATCCCTGACTGTAGCACTGGGTGATGTGGATTTGAATTTCTGAGGAGACACCAGTTTCTTTTAACGTTACAGGTGTGCCGCACTGAAGAATACCAACAAATAGCAGCCCTAAATCGATGGTTTCTTGCCGAATACCTTCAAATAACAAACAAATATTGATTGCCAAAACCGCAACTGCACCTTTCAATTCAGATAAAATTGGATTTAAATCAGAAAACGTAAATGGACAGTTAATGTGATGGAGTATAAACTGTTAGTCTTCCACCGCTTACATAATAGCTATCCAAAAGAGTAGTTACATAGCCAATAAAAGTTGATGTAACTATATCAATCAGGTTTAAGCAGTTGATTGTAATCGATTACTAAGTGTATTGAACTAAACCACCCAAAACTGAACAATTTGGTGATTAATTTATACATAAGGATTATTTGGTAATCAGATTTTGTTTAGTTTAATTAATGAAGCAAAAAGGTAATGACTAACAGAACATCATTACGAATATTAGTGTGGTAGGGATTCCCACTCAAGCTTTAACGTCATTTTTAGGTATCTATTTATCATTTCGTCACCAAACACTCACAAAGTTTAAATGAGCAAATTTTGAAAAATCTGCTTCCATTCCTTCATCAGTTTTTTCAATAATCCAGCGTACTATACGCCTCTATTTCACAAATTGAAGGCAATTTTCGCTAAGATACTGCTTAACAACAGTAGAAGACTAACCAGTACCAAGTCCTAGCTTCATGATAGTGAGTGACGTCATTCAGTCCGTTGACCAGTCCATTTAGTGAGTTTGCTGCTCAATACAGTTCAACTTGAATGTAAAAATATTGTTCACCAATTGCCAAGGAACGTCACCTTTAGTGCCACAGAGAAATATGGCGACCCACTAGAGGATGTGTATACTGCACTACAGTCCAATCTCTTCTAGTGTACAGCTAACAGACCTGACCTTCAGAAATAGAAGATATGAAAGTGTTTCGGATTTCTGACCACAGGTATCTTTGTACCACTTCTCATGTATGATGGAATCATTGCGTCATCGTTGACGAGGTTGAGTGGAAGGTCCTGAACCTCACTGACTGTAGTGGCCCCCACATGTCACGTGCATGCCAAACCACTGCCTACCTCAATATGCGTTGCTCTTCAAAGTAGGATTACAATGAAGAATGCTCAGCATTGTCATACCATGAAGTCTCTGACTGTTGATATGAGTAATATGGGGAGGTATGAACTGTCTTGCTATAACTATTTATCGACATACCTGTAATTCTGCGTTGTTTTTATTGGATCGAGGATGCCTCGGTATTGCCTGAATGTCAACTATGGTAATTTGCTTGGTTGTGGCTACTAGAGGAATTCAGTACGCACATCTCGTCTTATTTGGGACTCTTCAGCTGGATGTACCTGCACCCCAATGAGTGATGTTGTTCCCATTGGGACTCGAACCTCATACCCATCACTTCAAATGCCAAGGTATTATCCACTATGGTTGTGAAGGTAATAGGAATCAGTATTTGACGACGTCTAGTGATACGGCTGAAATTCAATCTCAGTGATGCAACGAGAATCAGTGCAGCTTCTGTCAGGTCCAAAGTCAACTTTTTCCATCTTATAATATAGATAATATATAGTTAATATGATACCGTTTAGATATACAAAATTGATTGTCTATTTTAATATAGATGGTTTGACTTACATTAGCATATCGAGATCTGTAATTTAAGGAAGCTAAGGTGAATATTTGACAGGTAAGATCGGTTCTAAGTTTCAAAATCTCAGTTAACTATTTCTCTTTTTGAGTTTGTGATGAACAGAAAAGTTTGGGTTTAGGCATAGGATAATTAAAATAGTATGCACACACATTTAGAAGCTCGATCTTTTTACTTTACTAAATAAGAAGCAAGTTTCGTCTACTACTGAAATACTGTTTTTGTTTTTAGTAGTATAGTCTCTGACTCGTCATACTGGCTTAACGTGGCACCTCAAACAAGATGAGAAACAAACCGTAAATTTATATATTTCATAAATCTATAGTGTAAAAAAAGTTATATTGTTGGATTGTGAAAAAAATAAGACTTCTACTATTCTTTATTTTCATTGAAACTGTATATATCAATGTATATTTTCCCGAATCCATACAGTATGCAAACGATAATGTTACATCCCACTACATCTACCCAT